GCAACATTGCATTAAAAGTGTCATTATTTACCAAATAAGACAAAGTTGACATTTAAAATAGACTTTTAAGGGACAGTTTAATATAACTTTGCATTAAATTATAATTATTTACCAAAAGACACTAAAGTGCTACCATTAGTTTTTGTCTTATTTTGAGTATACTAAGATATTTGCACTAGAAACTAGACACAAAATACTTTGTAAGATTCTGTGTTTTTGCTGTCTATCTCCTCCTCACAGCAGGAGGTGTAAACAAAATATTCAGAACAAGAGTGGGAGGAAAAGAGGCGGAAAACAAAGAGATTAACCTGCACACACCACACTAATAATGATTTCTGGCACCACTCAGGATGCTCTGTGAATACTGATACTCCATGCAAATACATTTCCACAGTCAGAATCCGTTTCACATCTGTGTGACATTTCCACCAACAGGACAGGATGCAAACAAGCTGCTGGTACAGTATGTACCATATACATTCCTGTATGTTATTTTACATTTCCACTGCATCTCAGACGACAGGGAGGAAGAAGAGCGCGTGTGCGCGTGCGTGTGCGTGTGTGTGTGTGTGTGAGATGTGATGCGTGGCGTCGTGTGCCGTTTGAGCCACAGAAGCTGAAAGTGGCCGTGACGAGGTGTTGAGGGCTGCAGTGTTGGAGAGGAGAGGGGGAGGAGACGGTGTGTTAGAGCTGTCAGAAGACGGGAGAGCAGAAAACGTGGAGTGAGGGAATGTTCAGAGTTCGTTATGACACCGAAACCAACGACTTCAAGGAAGCAAAGAACCAGGACAGCGAGTAAATGGTCTTGAATTGGACCAATTTATTTCTTGGCCAAAGTCTTGAGATGGTTTTTGCTGGTATTTCAAATGTATTCCTCTCAGTCTTTATTTCTGGACTTTAACTGGGCCATTTTAACACACATGCAATTTCTTTCCATACTGCAGAAATACGTAAAAATAAGTATATTTGGTCTAATATTTAGCGCAAATATCAAAAATGAGACAAAGCAAGATATGGAAGCCAATAATTTCTTAAAGAATAATGGAAAACTGATCTTTTTTAAGCTATATATTATGTTTTGATGTTACTTCCTCATCAAAAACCAGCATGTTTCAGAAATCCTTAAACCATTCCACTGTGCAAAACGTCTAATTGGACCTAGCTCCTCCTTCAAGATGCAGCAGCAGTTCCTGAGCTTCTGCCTCACAGATCAGCACTCCCCCATTCAGCTCCTTCAGACTAGCCAGCAGCAGTTAGCAAACACCTTGTGGAGCTGAATAAAACCTGAGCTCATTGAAGGAGCTACTTCTCAGTGGTAATAAAAAAGAACTTAACTTAACGTAATAGCAATGTGATGAGTTTTAGAAAGAGCAGGAGTTTTTATGGAGACTTAAGCCCAATTTCAAGGAATTAAGTGACAAAATCAAATTTGTTTAAGTGATATTTGATATATTTAACATTTTTGTAACAACTGAAGTTGAGATAGTTACTTGTTTTTGCAGTAAAACACATAAAAACACATAATTCAACCCCTATAAAATATTAAGGAATTAGTTAATTAAAACAAGACCCTATCTCTTTCAGAAAAGTTAATTGTAAATCAGTTTTGTCTTATTTCAAGTGTTGTAAGATATTTGCACAAGAAACTTACAAACTTGGTAAGATTTTCATTCTTTCCAGTGTAGTTCTGGCTGGGTGTTAAATTTGTTGCCCTGTTTGAATGCAAACATCCATCCCAGATAAAAGTCTGAATGCCAGATATATTTTAGCTACAAACTTCATGTTGTATTGCTACAGATGAAAAACATTCCCACAGCATGACGGGCCCACCACGTTTTATTTTGAGCACATTTGTAATTGAAACACAACTAAGATGTGCAGAGACACCACACCTTGGATTTTGCTTGCAGAGCAAAATGTTTACAAACAGACAAAGGTTTTGATATGGCAGTCACCCAGGGCGGCATTACAAAGGGATGGAACACTCAAGACATAGAAACAAAATAAGTTTTTCTTTTTTAAGGCAAAACAGACAGTTATCTGGCAGAAGAAACCCAGAATCATTTTTTATTTTATTTTTATGTTTGTATAATTCTCTGCAATAAACAGATATTTGACAGAATATTTTCTTCATAAAATTGACTCACAGCATGAGTCAATTTTGGCTGAACGCTCCATGACTAGCCAGTAAAATCTGGCTAGTCATGGATTCCTACAGACTTACAGAAAGCTTTGTGTAGCTCATACAAGAGATAAAGAAGAAGCATCAAATTTCTAACATGTTATCAAACACGCTGCGCTGCAAGGCGGAGCGCTGATGGAAACTGGGAGTCTTCTTATCGGATTCACTGAAGAAAAGAAATATTTTTTCCTTTTTATTGCTTTCACTGCAAGATGTGGCTAGGCAAACAGAAATCTCCACAGAATCAGCAAAAAAAAAGAAAAAGAAAAAGGTTCATGCCTCAAAAAAATGAGATAAAAGTCAAATATTTTTCCTCATAAATCACCTGCAGACTCCAGAGGAGTCAGACGAACTATTCTTCAGTCATCAGCTTATTTCAGAAGCCCTCTAACAGAACCAAAGCAGATTAAGAGTCTCAAAACAACACTTATCACATCTCATAAGTAATAACACAACTGTACTGATTCTGTTTGCCATTCATCATTTGTGTTTTTCTGTTTTTGCAATAAAATTTAGTTATGACTCACTGGAAGAAGTGCTATTGTGCATAAATAGAGCGTAACTGTTTGAAAAAGGCAAGATAAATGCAAATAATGAAGAGGTGAGGTAAAAGAAGAAAAATAAAAGAATAGCAGAACTACTGGTGTGTTTCTTTGCTGACTATCTTCCCAACAAAGCAGCTCCTGCAAGCTATGATGAGTTTCGTCCTGGAATTGGATTCGGGAAATTAAACTCCAGCAACTTCCTGTCAAATTGTTATGTGCAAAACAGTCTTCTCTTTTTAAATTCATTTTAGGATTAAAACACATTTAAAAAGCAAAACACAGACCTCCTGGTGAAATATGACAGGAAAAACTGAAAACAAAACATCAATAAAGGAATCTCTAAAGATTCTGTCAACGAGAAAAAGGATTGGTAATTAAAAAAATATCTTTAATCTCCAATTGCAGCTGTGATCTACTGGATTTGTGTAAATAAACTTCACGGTTTTTGAAAACTCAAAAACAAACTGTAGTTTTGGATCTAAATATAAAATGTAATGATCTCATTTTGGAAATCAGAAAAGTTCTAGAAGAAATATTAAACATTGGTATATTCATTATGACAGCTTACCTTAACCTCTTTTATATGAACATTTGCCTCTAATCGTTTTGATCTTAATCAAACCTAATGCCTGTTGATGCATATTTCACACATACCAGTAATCATATTTGAAACACTTTGCTGCCATCTAGTGGCTGGAGGATTCCTCAAACACGCCTGACATGGGTAACTAGCAAACTAAAAATTAAAGTTTATACCCATTGTTTTAATTAACAATCACTTCTGAATTTATCATCTAAATATAGATTTATTTGAACAGAAATTAATATTTATTTAAAGTATTTCTTAAATAAAAAAAACTTAAGGTTGAGGTAGTCAGATATTCCAGTTTCAGCCTGTAAATGTACAAATAAGTTGTTTTGTATTCTGTGTTTTCGTTTATTTTTAGTTTAAGTCTTTTCTTTTCTTCCTTTGGATTTTTTTAATGCTGTTGTATTAAAATAAAAATAAAAACTAAACAAAAACTAAAAGACTATCCAGATTTATCTAAAATGCTGATATGAAACAAATAGTCTGCCTACTTATTATTTTCCTAAACAAATAGACACAGTCAGGAAAAATTGGAATAAAATATGAGGACAACTGAAGTTTTACAGAACTTGAATATTAAGGCTTATTGGATCATTTTCAGTTTGAATCCTCACAGATGGCCAGCAAGTGAGAAACTCAGACCTGAACTCCAGCTGGACACATTGACAACAAACATTTTCTTTGTGGAAGTTGTTATGCAGACATTTTGACTTTATTTAAAAGCCTACTTTTTAAAATTCACTCAGAGCTATTGATGATTGCTCGTGCCAGAAAAATCCATGTTGCAGAAGGATCTTATATCGTAGCTCTTAAAAAGAAAATTGGAATAATACAAAATATGTAAATCAAGTCAAAGCTGTAGAAAAACAAAGATCAGAAATCAACCAGAAACCTCTGATTGTCGTAGCTCTTATGATTTCTGATTAAATGCACCGTTAGACAGAAATCACAGCTAATTTTTACAAACACTTTTGCTTTTCATAGTGAAAAAACATTTGCTCTTCTTAAAATGAGAAAAATTGCAGCACCTGCAAAATTAGACTTGGGTTAATCTGTCCCCTTACCTGCATCTCCTTAAAAGAAGTAAGTCAAAGAAAAAAGTCGAAGTCACAGAAATTATTGAAACATTTTAGAAGATGTGAAACTGAACTTTTTCTTATCGTAATTGTTTGGAGATTTTAAGCATGCACTTAAAAAAAAACACAAATATAGAGCCATTTTTACCTGTTTCTGTTCATCTGAGCAGCTTTTTCATTCAAACTTCAAACATAAGTGACAGGAAATGCTAAAAACATTTAACTAGACAATTATTGTCCAGATGTAGCACTAGCATTATGATCACCTGGTGAAATAGTGTGAAAATTTTATATTGATTTGATTTATATTAATGCCACATTTACAAACAAGTGGTAAGAATTACCGTTAAGGTAAGTCTGAAAATGTCTCGTCTAACAGAGTTATGAACAAACAAAATCTTCCAGACCAAAAAAAGCAAGAGAGGTCTGCGTTCTCTACCAAAAACTTGATGATGGTGATGATGATGATGTATTTCCTTGTGTATTTACAAGAATTTTGTAAGATTGGAAAGCTTGAAAGGCACAGACAGAAGAACCAAAGCGTAAATGCGTAGTAACACAAACCCATTTGTTTTTTTCTCCACTGTAACTTCACAGAGCGAACTTACCGTCCTCTGTGGGTACGTAGATGTTGAGGTAGAGGCAATCCTCGCTCTGGTTCTGGATGTATCCCGCCGCCACGTCCAGGTTATCCGTGAACCAAACCGGAAGCATAATCTCCGGCAGGACGCCGTGGATGTTCTGAGGGCAAACCGGGGCAAACTGGGTGGCGTTGCGGATCTCCTGCCAGGACCCCGGCGCCTCCGGCGGCTGAAACCGTCGGTCTCCGATGGGCGCCGTGGCGTAGGGAACTCCAAGGTACTGCTCCACCTAAAATCTCTTCTCGCCTCTCAGCTTGCCGTAGTGGGTGCTGACTATGGGATGCTTCGAAGGGTCCATTCTCTGGCAAGAGGCCAGACTGAAAAACAAGACGAGGCTCAGCACCGTCATGAGGCAGCAGTCTTTCACGAACCTGAAGGGTCTGGTCCTGGACAACAAACCCCGCCGACTCTGTTTGCTCAGAGTTAGTGGAAGGTTGTTCATGGCTGGAGTCAAAGAGCTCAGCCACCTGCTTCTAGTCTGTTCTGTCACTTCGGTCCAGCAGAGAGGAGGGCAAACCATAACAAGATAAAACACCAAAATCAGACGAACTCTTCAATCAGCGCCAGGCAGAAGGGAAAACGTTGGGTTTTTGGCCCTCGGTATGAGATCCAGGTCAGTGGTGAAACTGATTCGAGGCGATCCAGAACACTTCTCCAGGCATGGTTCTGTTGCGTTCCATGCCTGTCCTTCTCCCGTTGTCCGGATAATTGGATTGATGAAGGACTCTGTAGAGTGAGACAGAGAAATGGGAGGAAGAAAAGCAGGTAAGAGTGTTTTCCAGCCGTACAGCGTCATCTTATAGCACATTCAAGTAACTAGGTTGCTATACAAATACTATAAGTCAAATAGGACTTAAAAGAAATTAGACTTTGTAATTTAATGCCTTCAAATTGGGCCTCTGACTCTTTAAAAGCTCCTGCTCTTGCTGAAACTCCACCTTCAGGAAGTCATCACAGCATGTCTCCACTATTAACCCTTTAACGGCATTTTTACCAGTGTTTCACTAAGAAGTAACTCACGTAATGATTTCAGCTGATGCAGGCTAATTGCTGCTGGCTAGTCTGAAGGAGCTGCTCTGTGAGACGGAAGCTCAGAAGTTTGGAAAATGCAGCTCAGAGGAGGGGCTGCGTCTCGAAGGCGGGGCCAGGTCCGCCCAGGTGTTTGGCACAGCTGCAGCTAAAGGATTTCTCAAACGTTTGTGAAAGAATAAAAGCAAAAAGTCCAAATACGTTTCTGATGAGGCAATAACATCATGACATGATGTAAAGCTCAAAAAAGTTAATTTTACCTGTGAAACTGCCCCTTTAAATCACAGATGAAGCTAAAATATATGCAGGTTTTTTCCATTTTAGCTGTTGTCAAGCTGAGGAAAAACAACGCTATGAAAACAGAAGACTTTCTAAATGAAAGATATTCACAGAAGACTTTCTAAATTTCTAAATGTAGAGACTGCACTAAGCAGCTCAAGCAAAACGGAACATCTATCATGGAGATTAACATGTTGAGGATCAGTTGACATCCCATTTTTTACAACCTTTCAAACGTCTCATTTCTCACTTTATTATATAGCCCCATTCAATGTAGAGATTACCCATTATGGACACATTTTAGTGATAGCTTGGATTTAGACGGAAATATCTTCATTTATACTCTTAAGAGCATCAGAGTATGAGGCATCTGTCCTCATAAGGCAGATGCCTCCTGGATATCATGAGGGATGAAGCTCTTATTCCATGAGAATCTAAAGAAAATGGCAGTAATTCAATATCGGTAATATCAGAGAAGTGATGCATGGCTAATCGATTCACCTGTCCATTCGGTTAGCTTAAGATTTGAAGCACAGATCGTCGATGCCTCATTAAATTGCTCTTGTCTATTTCCGTCAAGTATTTGAAACCTCATTCAAACCTGCACTGAAAAAAGAAAACAATCGAGGCAACTAAAAGAAAAAATTTGTTACAAATAATCAAAGTGAGTATATTACATTTATTCAGTTAAACACACATAATTAGCCTGATTTAAGCTTGCATTTTAATTTAAAAGTTCTTGTTATTCATTATTTTACTGGTAATTTAGATTTTATGTCCAACAAAAAAAAACTAAAACTGTGCTTGATTTATTTGCTTTTGGGTTCATAAGTTAAAGAAATAATTTTACCCATTTTGTTACATTAAGCACTTTCCACAATTAGTGTCTTAGAAAAAATATATATTGATCGTATTAATTTTAGAGGATTTTAGCTACCACTATAATAGCAATAATAATATGTATAATAAATACATATTTCTACAAATTAATTTATTAAAGAAAATATCTTTTTGCTTTCTGACCACATGCAGCTTAGATTGCAAATGTACATTTAGACGTATGAAACCATATAAATACATGTTTATGTGTTTTACATACCCAATCCACTCATTTTATTTTATTATCAGAGGAAAAACTCTGTGACTATTTTTTCCTTGTAACATAATCAGGACTTTGTGACACTTTAAATCCACGTATCTGCTGTATTTTGCTTCTGACCCGCGGTCTGGACATGTCCGACCTAAGCTGGTGTGACCTGTATCGGGGCCAAATCCTCCCTAGTTGATCTGTGTTTAACATGGCCGCTCATTCCTCCATATTACACGCAAATCTCCACGGAGAGCCAATGTTGTCCAGAGCCACTTCGCCAGGCCTCGGCTGACGACTCGGCTACTGATGATTCCTGGATTCTTTAGCGGTTATTAATTTCCTGGAGGCTTTAGGGTTGCTTTTGCAGATAAAGTACAGTCGACACGAAAGGACAGACAGCAGAGGCTGGAGATTAGGGCGATCCTTTCACTGCCCAGCAAGGTCAAAGGTCAATAATGTGCTCCGATAAGCAGCTTACAACAGGCGGGGGCGGGGGGCTGAACGCAGAACTCGGATGCATTTGGTAAGCCTTAACTGACCCACAGATGAATGAGAGACCACTCGTAGTACAACCATTCATGTAATCTGGAGTGGAAATTTTCAAATCCTCGTGTGACAGAACCGGAGTCAATAAAAGGACGAGGCGCGGCAGAGATTATACCAGCAGAACATGACACTACCGATCCAGGTTGGGTCAATCCCCTAAAAAGATCTTTCCCACATTTGGTCACGTTTTAGTGCTAAACAGACCAACACAAAGCTTCTCAGGCAGGAATCTCTCAAAAGATAAAAAGAATGTGGATGAGATTTAATTTGGGGAAGACGTTTTTATTTACATTTAATAAAATGTGAGGAAATGATGAGTGGGAAAACCTTTCATGGTAACTTTTTGCTGATGAGGTTGGAAAGCCTCTTTACCATCACCCTGATCTTTTGCTCTATATGTTTTTCGTCTTTTCGTCTTCCTAACCAATCCACTTCCTCTGATCAAAGATTTTAGCTTCTGCAATAGTGGAAAAATAGTTTCTAATGTGCGTATTGATGCTTATGAAGGGACATTATTTATGTTTGAACTATTAAGCAGATTTAGAAAAGGTTCAAAGTATCTGCAGGTGTTTTGTGATGATTTTCCCCATTATTGACAAAGTGAATTTTCTAGATTGTACTTCCTAATGATATAAAAAGTAATAAATCAGATTCATTTTGCAGGAATTTATATGAATGAGTCGATGCTTTTGGACTTCATCCAAAATTGTGAAATTTTCAAGTAAATCATTATTTTCAGATGAGATATAATGAACAAACAAGATTGTTTTCATGTTTCATGCTGTGAACTTAATCCAGAATATTTAGGGGTTAAACTAAGGTATTTTAGAGCTGGGATATTAATGCATTTTTGATTAATTAATTTCAGATTTCTGAAGACGCATGCATGCAACTTCCATGAATAATTAGGGATTCCTGAAACATTTGAAATCTAAATGGCTACATTAGCACTTAACAATGATCTGATAGTTTAATAACTTAAATAGCAGATGAAAAACAGTAAATATCTCTACGTCTTCATATTCCAGAATTCAGCGGAAAAGAAAGGAGTTTTGAATTAAAAATGTTGCTCATTTTGTCAATGGTTTTGCGATTCATTGATTATAAATCCAACACTTAATTCAAAGCTTCAGTTAACTTGATTAAACTGACCTAGTTTATTGTCCAGGTATAAACTATCAGCAGGTAGCACACATGCAAACCAAAACACACACAGAAACACACAGGAAAACAAAATAATTATCTCTTTTTTAATTCACCTTCCTCTCTTTTACACACTCTCCCTCTTGATCACTATAATTATCCATTTTAAGGCCATCATTAACTGAGTTAATGCTGCAGCTGAAGCACTTCTGTGTTTTTGTTGTTTCCCTTTTTTTTTCTTCCTCTACCTCTCTGAATGCCAATAAAGCCATCCGGAGGAGAAAGTATGAGAGTTAGATGTCCTGAGGCGAGACAGCAGATAATTGGAGTCCATAGACTGATGAGCAGATAAAACGAGCGAGGCTCCTTCATGTAGCAATAAAGTTTATGTACAACAAGATCTTTGAGGGGAGAAAATCCGCGGAAACGTGTGGATTCTCTGAGGTTGTTATAATTGTGACGCAAACTACGGCGTCTTTAATTGCTCATTGTCTCTTTCTGGTGCAGTGGGTTCAGACGAAAATATACCGCAGCCTGCCTTTGTTCTCCTCAGTGCGGACTTTGTTGTGCTGCCCACGCTCCCTTTCTCTCTTCCTCTGTGTGTGTGGATGTACATATATGCTCTGAGAGAAGCAGGGCAGCACAATGCACGCTCTAATTAAACCGCGGAGAGTCTAGAGGCTGGCCTGCTTTGAGCCGAGCCCCCTCGCCGACAGAAACTCAGACACATTCATACATAAAAGAGACGGCAAGGCCGAGAGGCAGAGATGAAAAAAAAAAAAAAACCGAGGGCGACAAACGGCAGATGAAAGGTGAAAATGCAGATGGAGAGGAGACAGGTCTTGGCAATGAAAACGCTTCTCTCTGGTCAGCCGAGACCCTTCAGGAAAGGCAACACGAGGGCTGGAGAGTGTTGGGAAGTGGACGCTAATAGACCCACTTCCACGGGAGGCTGCTGTGGAAGCGCTCACTCTTAAACATCACACCTCCAGTCTGAGTGGGCAGCAGAGCACTCTTCTTCTGAGCGAGCGTCTCTGGTAAGAAGCCAAAACGCTGGCAGATTCCAGCCTTCCTGAAAGGACCTGCAGAGTTTCTGGGTGCATCTGAGTGTTTAATTGCTAATTGGCTCAATTAGAAGGTTTAATTGGTCCAGCTTTGCTTTTGAGCCGCAGGAGAGCTTAAGTGATTGATGAAGCAGAGAGGGAGAGGAGAAGGTGATGCTGAGGCAACAAACGGTATAAAAATGGGAATATGGCTGATATTTCACAGTCATACCCTGCAAGACTTAAAAATTTATTTTAAGCCTAGTTTCCATTGCAAAACCAACTTATAAATAACTTTTCAGCAAGGTAGGA